TAGAACTCATGACCTTGCATTTGCCAGACAGGTTCTTGTGCTCCTGATCTATACCCTAGCCCTGATTCTTATTTCACATGCTGTCTAATTTATTTATTACAACTATACAGTTTATATCCTTAAATTTTTATTATGTAATTTAAATCTCACTGCTAAAATAGATATTTCTTTATAAATTGTTTCCATAAATGATTACAATTATAGGTTTCATTATAGTGTATATAAGAACATCTACTTAACTATGTAGATGACTGCTTGCATAGGCAGGGCACAGCTTGATAGATGCAATTACATCTTGACTTTGTTTCTTATTAAGGGTTAACATAGTACTTAGCTATTGACATTGGTGACATATTACATTTTCTTAAAATAAAAGAAATGTAAAGTATGGTGTGCATAGTGTAAAGTATGGGGTAGCGTGCATACGTTATGAACAAGGTATAACTTCTGATAATGAATGGCTCTACCTATTGGTCAAATAAAATAGAGCAATTTAGGTCACGTAAAATTTCCCAAGATATATTCTTCATCTTATTCTTTTCAAAATGCTAGTGATAGGGGATTCCAGGGAACGAAGCGCACAAGTCAAACTGTTGCTCAGTAGCTCTCACCAGAAGACTGAGTAAATGTAGGCATTAAGATTCTAGGGGTGGGCTGGTGAGATGGCTCCGTGGTCTAAAGCACCTACTTAGAACAAGCTAAGCCAAGCAAAGCACAGGGACCTCGGTTCAACCCCCAGCACCACATGCCAGCCGGCCCGCCCCCTGGTGGGCTGAGCTGGCCACACACTAAATAAATAAATAAATAAATAAATGTATGTGTCCAATTATAAATAAATGTATGTGTCCAATTTAAAAAAAAAAAAAGATTCTAGGGGTATTGCACTGCTTCATGTATATCAGCTCACTGACACAAGCGTGAGCTCCTCCTTGCTCATACAGCAGACAGTGCTGCTAGAGTGTGGAAAGACTTCCAACAAAATTGACTTTTTATGCACCAGAGTCACTTTTGTTTCTTCCCACAGCTCAGGGAATACAACTGAATAATTACAGAGACAATAGAAAATCATTTCTATTTCAAAGCTTCTTACCCTGAGATAAATATTATCTCTTTGGGAAGTTCTGATTTATAAGGTTAGATAGTACTGATGTAAGGTTTTCAAGAAATGCTTCAGAGGGAGAGATAGCTCGGTTGTCTAAGCTTCTGACTGGCAAGTGCAACGACCAGGGTTCAATCCCCTGTACCATGTGCCATT